TCACGGCATACAGTTGCCCTTTTGAAGAATTCCTTCCTGTTTGCAGCATTATATTCTTCTTTCGGGTAGCTTGAATTTCTTCTTTCATGATAAACGTCCACTCCTCTTCCCTTTTCTGCTTCTCCAATACCGACTCAGGGACGCATTCTGCACTTTTGCGCGTCAGCCATCTCAACCGTCTGGCTGAGAGATGAGCGGCAGTGAGATTGTAGATCGAATTTAAAAGAAAGCTGCATTTTTTTATCATAGAGATTTCTTCACCAAATTTGGATTCCAATGTCAGTATAAGATGTTTGATCGTGTAAGGTTTTTCTTCGAAATTCACTTTTTTTTTGTTATTTTTCATTCTATCTCTATTTAGAGTTGTTAGTGTTCTGACCGTATGGATTTCTTAACCAAATTTGGAGACCAATTGTGAATATGAGCCGTTTGATAGTGTAAGCTTAGGGTTTTGGTTCCTATTTTATTTCCATTTCATATCCAGTTATCCACTTATTTCTATTTCTGTTTTATTTTCTTCAATTGTCACCTTAATTTTTCTTTTCAGTCCAACCAACACATATCATTTGACATGTTTCTTTGTTATTAAACATTTTCTAATGTGTATCTAATCTTTCTTTTAATTTAAAAAACATTTTTTTTAACATGTACAGTTTATATAGGTTTTAACTTGTATTAAAGAAGAGTCAAAAGTGTTTAGGTAAGATAGCAAAATTTTGAGGTAAACCTTGATATGTTTCTTTTCAGTCCAACCAACACATATCATTTGACATGTTTCTTTGTTATTAAACATTTTCTGATGTGTATCTAATCTTTCTTTTAATTTAAAAAACATTTTTTTTAACATGTACAGTTTATTTAGGTTTTAATTTGTATTAAAGAAGAGTCAAAAGTGTTTAGGTAAGATAGCAAAATTTTGAGGTAAACCTTGATACTTTTTATTCTACATTTTGCAATTAAGGTTTACCTGATGCAAAATTCTTGAAGTAAACCTTGACACTTTTTTAACACTATCACCTGATGTAAACCTTAATACTATTACCTTAATACAATAGTGTTAAGGTAATTGATCTGAATAATTTATAATAGCGGTCAAGTTCAACATTTTATCATGCATTGGTTTTAGTTAAGCTTAATTTGCAAATACAGACATAAAAAGTAGATGAATACATTAGCAAATCATCATCACCCCAGTGCCACAAAGGCTCCCACCTACGGTGGGAATAGCTTTGCAAATACAGACGTAAAAAGTAAATGAAAAGATTTGCAAATAGATTTGCAGGACTTGGCTAACAGAGAAAGCAATGTCACTTAAACAAACTGAAGTGTAAGGTAAATGAATTCCCATTGCTTTGTTTGTAGCTGATTGTTTATTGATTTCCAAAGGATTAAGCTTCAGTAGGGGTAATATAGTATCTTTTTTAAGACTTGCTACTATATCCTAAATCCTAATCAAATTTAATGTGTCTTGCGTATTCCTATAAATTCTATATATTGTGTATTAAGTTATAGACCACCCGTAGTCCAGGTAAAACCCTCTCACCTTGCTTGGGGTGTTATGATTAAATGATTCATATTGTTTTCAAGTATATTCTGCCATTCATTTGGAATGCATGGAAGATTAACGGAACTATATGGAAATTGCATTATGGTTGTTCGGCTAAAATGTGATTGAGAGCTTAATGTGATAAGTATTTCAGCTAAATAAATCTTAGAATCAGCTAAATAAACAAACTTTGTTTTCCTCAAATATCTTTTTTTTATTCTAAAAGTATGGAACTAAAGACATGTCTCAACTACTTGACCCTACTTGTGTGTTTACTAGGTAGCCCGAATTGTGCTCAAAGGAATACTGTGGGATTGCCATGGTAAAATCTAACTATTTGACCCTAAGAATATGAATTCTTCTTGAATCAAACTAACAGTTTTCTGTTCAGTGACAATGGAATTTTAAGAAAATTTCAGTTTTTTAAATTTGTCAATGAACTTAAGAATAAATATGGTTCAATTGCAAATGTATGGAACTCCGAATGTGGAAGCAAAACTGCATTTATTTTTTATCATTACTTTTCTTTCAAAGTTACCATTCTTCAACACTAATTTCAGATTAGTGTTGAAGTTTTCTTTTAGATTAGCCACATATATTCTTGCAGGTATAATAGTTGAAATTCAAAAGTAGGAGTCAAATAGATTTACATAAATGTGTCTCCCGTGAGAAATCTTATCTTTCTTTCCCTTTGGACTCCAATATCATGTATCGATTCATGTTAGCCGATCCCAAAATCTTTTGGGATTAAGCCTTAATTGGGTGGTGTTGTGGTCTCCTTTTAGAAATGTTCCTATGATAAGCTTACAAGGAATAGAAAAGCATGCCATATATGTAGGATAACTTCTACTATACATGTAATTAGGATGAGATCTAACATCATTGTTTGATAAAGTGCTAGCTTCATCTGAGTTAGTTTTGTTACGTTTACCCAAGTTTTGGATCAATTTCATTACTTTTTCTTTCCTAAACTTGCACTTCGACATCTAAATTTGATTTTAAGATGTTGAGAAGCCGACTAGGAAACATAATACTACGTAGTAAAGATCCTAATCAACTTCCAATAGGAGACAAATAATAGAAATCCTAATTAACTCCTAATAGGGGACAAATATTAGAAATCATAATGAACTCCAAATAGGAAACAAATCCGGAAAATTAAAAAGAATAAATATTAATTAAGCAGCCCGCAACCAGCCCACGAAGGTGGGCTCAAGCCCATCCCTGCCTACAGTAAACCCACGGGGGCTTCTGCCTCCCTTCTTCCAAGCCTAGATTATTCTTCTATTGCTTCATATCACATCATCACTTTGATCTTATTCTATGTTTATCATTTGTAGGTATGGGGAGACTGTTTTTGCAAGTGGTTCAAAGAAATAACCCATTGACAAAGAACTTATGCTACTATGTGGGATACCTTTTTTGGGAATTTTTAACTCTAAAATATTGTGAATTATATTTCCCTCTTGTGAAATAACCCATTGACAAACAACTTATGCTACTATGCTAGTATGAATTATATTTCCCTCTTGTGAGTATTTTGATGCACAATGCTATTACTTATTTACTATTGTTATTACTATTATAGTTTTCTACGTACCACTATTGTTATTACTATTATAGTTTTCTTTTACAATTAAATCTACTTGAGACGTGAGCTTTTGTAATATTTTTTACACTTGATGATTCAGTTCAAAATATTCAAACTATGGGAGTTAACAAAACTTAAAAATCTTATTAGCTGTCTTTAAATATTGGGAATCCTTAGAATTTAGCCGATTACACTTGACGTTTTTGTTTCTTGTAGTTTTGCTCATTTCCCAAGTCTGATCACTTTGATGTATCACTCTTTTACATCCAATGAAAATGTTATTTTGACTAATTCGTGTTTGTGTTGGAAAACAAGCACATATGGAGAGTGTGAGGATCCATCTTCGCTAATGATTTTTTCATTCCATCTTCGCTAATGATTTTTTCTTTTAACTAATTAAGGCAAAGATATATTATGTGTAGCACTTCTAAGTGTAGTGTTATGATTTTAAAAACATGTAGTTTGTTGTTGTTCTATGGGCTATGGGGCTTAGATACAAATCTAATGATCTTAAATTTATTGTGAAGTACTTCGTAATACATAAGATTTCATGGCATCAAACATACGTCTAAATAGGCAACCATTGCCTTATTTGCCTATGAACCTAAATCAGTATATTACCTTTCGGGTATTTCATTTGATTGATTGTGAACACATCTTTGACATTGAATAAGATCCTTAAATGGATATTTACGAATAAAAATACTTTTTAAATTTATAAAAAAAATTAAAATGGTACATGTTTGTTGTACACATGTATGATCCACATGTACCATACATGAATGATTTATAAAAAGTAATAATGCGTTTGTGTTTGAATTTGGTTAAAAAATATTAGCTATTGACGAAAAATATATTAGCTGTTGACGTGGACTCATTGAAAAACATAGGCCTGAGCTATGTGCCTATGTTCGAGTCCAAATCCGTTCCATTGACAAATCTACCTATTGACATACTACGTACTACGTATTGACATACTACGTATATAATTCGAAAATTATATCCCGTGCAACGACGGGCATGAAATACGAGAGCCATTTCCAAAGGAGAGAGAATTATCCGGATATTAATCTAATTTGAGATTAAGTTTTAACTTTTAAGTTTTGATCTTTTAGACTTGAGAAACTGGCATCAGCTCAATGCCAGTTTTATCTTAATGAACATTTTGATCTTTTATCGTAATGCTATAGCTTTATGGAATGCAAGCCATGCCTAAGCTGATAGACAGATCAAAGCTTCCAAACATTGTCGATCCTGTTATCCTGTAATTCGATATTCAATTCACATTAAGCACCTGTGCCAGGTTAGTTGGAAACAGAAAAAAAATGGTTCACTGTCAAAACTACCATTTCTGTCCCAGAGTTATTTGATGAGATTAAAACACTATATATTCACACAATTCTGGATGATAAGAATACACTTTTCAGAGGAAATGACAAAACCACGGAGGTTTTGAGTAGACCTGGCAAAAAGACGGGAGTTCCCTCTAGGATACAAAAAGACGGGAGTTGGAAATGCCTCTTCCGAATGAATAAGGGTGATTGGCGTACCATGAGTTTGATTCGGAACTGTGAATTCCAAATGAGGGACCCAACAACTTTAATTGATTTGGAAGTTCGAAATCCAGATGGCTAAAACCGACTTACAAAAAAACATTCCCACTAATTCGAATTTCATATTTCCAAATGAGTAAAAGGCAAAAAACTTGAACTCATTCACATGCCATTCAACCCCACCTATTCAACAACTCATTTGGAATTCCCATTTCCAAATAGGAAAAACCTTTCCATCCACATTCTTCACCTAAATATTCCACTGTCTCGTCTATAAAAACTCATTTCCTTCTTAATTCTTTACCACAACAAACAATACTCCTTTCTCTCTTTATCATTCATATTTTAAAGTATACATTCCCAAATGGCTAGTGAGGGTAATTCTATTCTTTTCGTTCATTGGAATGACTCTATAATCCCAAAACATAATGAAATAGAGTATTCCATACCTCCTATTAAAGTGTTGTTCATTAGTGAAGGAGATGATTTTAACACTGTCTACCAAACTGTTTTAGAACATGTTAGAGGAGGGGGTTTTTCTGAAATACACGCAATTTACGGAAAAATGCCAAAATATCAGAATTCAGTGTATGTTGGTTCTAAAGTGTGGCCCATTCACGATGACCGGCCATGGAGTCACTTTTTTCGTATCGCTTTAAATGAGTACGAAGAATTGCAAATTTTCGTGGATGCTATAAACAACTCCATAGCAATGCCACAAAATTTGGTTTTCGACGATGTTCCTACAAATGCCCCCACTACGTTTCACAATTTCGGCCAGGTCCATCATCAACACATGGCCGCAGGAGCAACACTGAAACATTTGAGAACTTCCAGTCCTCTGGTATGCGTTTTACAAGTTAAATACAATTTTAGTGATTAGTGATTTAACTATTATTCACACATTTATTATTAATACTATAATTTATAGTATGTTGTGTGTACGAAATAAATGTGACAATTTATAGGTTAGATGAAAATAATAATATTACTATATTTCATGAAACTGCGGATTGGTTGAGCTTTTGCACACCAACACCAACACCAAATAATAATATTTCAGATTTTCAAAGTTCGATTTCAAAAACCAAATAAAAGGATCAAAGTTACAGATTGTATGAGCTTTTGCACACCAACACCATATTTTTCTGTAGATTGGTTCAATCCATTGTCTAACAATTTTTAAGCCCTGCCATGTCTTTAATCACTTGCCATTTTCAAGTTTCAACTTTCCTAATGACTAATTGTATTGCAATAATCTCCCCATAAGGTGTTTTTTGAATTTATTTCACTTAATGCTATATGCAGGGCCGGATCCAGGAATCTGGGATGCCCTAAGCTGAATAACAATTATACTAGGTTTAAATATTAACAGGGTGGGCTAAATGTGAAAAATGAAAAAAAAAAATTACACTAAAAAAATGATTTTTTTTATGTTGTCATGGGTTTCAGCCCACCATAGCCTATACATAGATACTCAATTTTCTTGGAAGCTTAGAATAAAACAAAACCCAGCTTTGTGTAAATGTTTCAGAGAAGGATTATTAGCAAGTGGGTATACCATAAGCATTTCTTCCTGATTCCCCCGCTCAATGATATTGTTTGACATCAATGAAATTGAATCTGTGTTCAATTCGTTTGACTGATCACTATGCATCATATCTATGTAATGAATGGCATGCCCTGGGATGCAAACGGAAGACAAAATTTGGTAAGCTCCAGTTTCATTGCTCACATGGTAACATAACAATGCAGCGGTAATACGCTTGACCCATATCTTTGTTGTATGGCAATTGGAAAGTCCGGCCAGTGAGATAGTTAGAGGGCCAAAATCAATATTTGTATTTTTGTTACTAATGGAATCGTACTCCTAATTGGAGTGAATAATGGAAATGTTTGTGTCATTGATTCAAGAAGTTATTGTAAAAATCCTTTCTATTTTTTATAATAAGTCATTAGTTGGTTGGAGAGGTAAACATGCCAAGGGTTTATTTGATTTTGTGGTTGTGATTTGAGGCCATTCAAATTACATTTCCTTGTGGGATGTAATTTTCCTAAATGAAAAAAATGTAATTTTCCTAAATGTCTATAGACTTTAGATATATTTTCATTATACTAATTTGTGTAGGGGTGGATCTGGTCCACTGCCTCAAAGTAGTTGGGTCTGAATGGCCGTTTTCTGAGACGGGACCAAACCCATTATTTCTGGATCAGATCGAAGACCTGTGTTGGACCCGTCCCATCTAGCAACGGTCCTATTTAGTATTTTTGGAGACCAGTATTAGTTCATTTTTTTTGCATTTCAAGGCTATAAGCATTTTATAAGAGGTATAAAAATTCATTTAAAAGGTAAAAAGAGGATATGGAGGGGGTTAAGAGGGTTTAAAACATTAAAAAAAGTAAGAATAAAAAGATTCGAGGTGAGTCGATCGTGAACCCTACCTATGGCTACTGTTACGGCGGTGGAGGGGGCGGCGCCTCCCTCTCCACCAGTTCAAAATGCTTGGGGCGCCAAATCTTTTGCATCGGTGGTGGCAAATACGTCTAATGATTTGCAATGGTCTAAGAAGGTCTCTTCTAAGTATAAAGGTATGCTTTCTTTATCGTTCCCAGAGGTGGAGGCTAATATTCTTGCAGAGAAACATAAAAAAGCGTTGATTGGGTATTTCTTTAATGGCCGCCCACCTATGGCCTCTCTTCGTAAAGCGTTTGAGGTTATTGGCTTTAAAGGTTCTTATCATCTGGGTATTCTTGAAAGGAAGCATGTTTCATTACGTTTTGATCTTGAGGAAGATTATATCCGTTGTTGGAATCGCCAAATGTGGGATATTTTTGGAAATGTTATGAGGGTTACCAAGTGGACTCCGGAATTTAGGCCTAATGTGGAATCGCCTATTGTTCCTATTTGGATATCTTTAGCTAATCTACCCATTCATCTATTTGATAAGTGTGCTCTATTTGATATAGCTGGTTTAATTGGAAGACCTTTGAAAATAGATGTTGCTACTGCCTCATTAGCTAAGCCTTCTGTTGCTAGAGTATTTGTGGAAGTGGATGTTTCTAAAGAGATGCCTAAGAAATTATGGATCCAATGTGGATCGTTTTCACACAGACTGTTGAATATGAAAACAGACCATTTTACTGTAATGGTTGTTTACATTTGGGACACACTGAGGCATTATGTCCAAAAAACAATTCTGGGCACACAGCCGACTGTGAAACAAGGAGTTGCATCTAAAGTTACTGAGGTATGGGCTCCCAAGGCTAAACAAACTGTTGCTACTACTTCTATTACAAACGGGAAGCAGGGGGATGATATTACAAAAGCTCAGAATGCAAAAGCTTCTGAACTGCATTCCATTGAAGTGATCTGCATTCCATCTTCAGCAAAGGAACTCGATACTGACACTGATACAAAAGAGGTTTACAATGAAACATTAGAAGTGCTTAATGGACATACATCTATCAAGTCAACGGGTGGATCATTACTTAATACTGAGGAGATACCTGGTGCTCAAGAATCAGATCAAACAACATCTTCACCAGCCAAATACAATCCAGCCAAAGACTCTGAGCTACTGAAGCTCCTTAATTTGGATATCCCTGGTCTGCAAAACAAAAAGAAATCTATGTCAGCCAAAATTCAAGATGATTTCCTAATACATCATTTGCACAAGGCATTGGAGTATGATTCTGAAACTAAAAAGAAAAAAACTTTCTCTGATGGAGATTTTAAATGAAGGCCACAACCATTACAAAACTGGGAGGATGGTTGGGATGTTATTCATGTTAAAGTCGGACAGATGGCTCTGCAATTGGCAATGCAAGAGACAGATCAAGATAACATATGTCAACCTCACACCAAGGAAACAGTACAAGTCAAAGAGGGCTATCATCCATCCAAGGAAAAAGATGAAAGAGATGACCAACCTGAAGAAGGAAGAGCTGTTAGTCATGATGCTCAAACTGATTCAGATGCTCAGCAACAACCTTCATCCTTGGATCCTGATGTAGAAGGTCAACATATCTCTGAACCTTAGGAGGAAGAATTTATTACTGTCACTGGGAAGAAGTCTAAACGCAGAAATCAAGTTGATCTTAACCCTAGAGTTACAAGAAATGCAGCAAAGAAGAATAAACAAAATGTGAACTCAGCTCTTGAAGATCCTGGTATCAACAAGAAGTTATCCTATAGTTTACCATCCATATCTCAATGAATTGTTTGCTATGGAATGTCAGAGGTCTGGATGGTTCCCACCCGAGACTATGTTCCTTAGTTAAACAGTATAAAATTAAAATCCTCTGTGTTATTGAGCCTATTGTCTGCACTTCCAGAGCTGATTACTTCATGATGGAATTGGGGTTTAAGAAAGTGGTTTTCTCTAATATTAATAAAATTTGGATATTTTGGGATACAGACCACTTCTCTATTTCAGATATTCATTGGCATTCTCAGCTAGTTCATTTTGGAGTTAAGGGTGATTCTTTTAAAGGTTGGATGACAACAATTTATGGTAAACATAGTCACATTGTTAGAAAGGATATGTGGGCTTTTCTTTCTAGTACTGCTGCTTCTATGACTGATCCATGGATTATTGGGGGGGACTTTAATGCCATTGCTAAGCATAGTGAACACCATGGATCAGCTATTCCAAATTTGGATAGTATCTTGGATTTTTCTAACTGTATAGCCAATTGTGATTTAATTGATCTGCCCTTCCAAGGTCCCCAATTTACTTGGACTGGCTTGCGACCCAATGGTTGGGTTTGGAGAAGACTTGATAGATACTTGGTTAATGCTAAAATGATTGATTATTTTGACACTATTCAGATCAACATTTTGGAAAGAACCCCCTCTGACCATAGTCCCCTTTTACTTCAATGTAAGAACTCTTCTGCTCAGGGTCCTAAATCCTTCAAATTTCTGAACATTTGGCTCTCTCATCCTTCCTTCATGGAATTGGTTAATTAAAAATAGCTGGAACAAAAATCAATTTGGAGGTGGTATGGGTGGACTTGTTGCTAAGCTTAAAAGCCTCAAGCAAGAATTGAAAGTGTGGAACAAAACTGTTTTTGGCAACATTTTTGAAGAAATTTCTAAATATGAAGACAAGGTCACTCAAGCTGAGATTGATTTTGAATCTGACCCTTGTGATGCTAAAAGGGAGAACTGGTTTCATTTAAAAGCCCTGCTTAAATCTAAGTATGCCCCTGAGAGGAAATATTGGAAACAAAAGGCTCATATTAAGTGGTTAAAAGAGGGTGATTCTAACTCTCAGTTCTTTCACTCTTTTGTCAAGATTAGAAATAGAAAACAACAGATTACTTCCATTCACAATAATGAAGGCTCTCTGGTTAATACCTTATCTGATATGGGAGATGCTGCAGTGCAATACTTTTCTGGTCTTTATGCTGTTGAAGAGCAAATTGAAGCCTCCAATGTCCTGCATTATATTCCAAAACTTGTTAATGAAGAAGATAATAGAATGCTGCTAAAACTGCCAGATGATAGAGAAGTGAAAGAAGCAGTTTGGGCCCTCAATCAGAATGGTGCACCAGGTCCAGACGGCTATAATGAAAAGTTCTTTAAAAAATGTTGGGAGACTGTGGGTCCGGATGTAGTCAGGGTTGTTCAGGAATTTTTTATGGGTATCCCTATCCCTAAAGGAATGGTCAGTACTCTTGTTGCTCTTATTCCCAAGGTGGAAAATCCTGATACTTATGCTGATTTCAGACCAATATGCTTATCCAATTTTGTTAATAAAGTGTGCACTAAGGTGGTTGCTTCAAGACTGGTACATATTCTTCCCAAACTCATTTCCATTGAACTAGCAGGTTTTATGAAAGATAGAGACATATCTGAACAAGTTCTTATTGCTCAAGAAATGGTGCATTCTTTAGAGAGAAAAATCAGGGGTTCTAATGTTATTATAAAGCTTGATATGGTAAAGCGTTTGATAGGCTTTCTTGTAAATTTTTGAAGGAAGTTCTTGATAGATTTGGTTTTTGATACGTTTGTAATTTCCGTGTGTTTATTTACGTTTTTAGTTAGTTTTGGTTGTTTAATATTTCGGAAATTACACACTTTCGGTGTAATAGTTTAGTTTGTTAAATTCTTGTAAATTGTTTAGTTTAGGTTTATTCTGAGCTCAAACAGGTATACCATCACTCAAAGGACAGTTGGTGAACCCCAAAAGTGGAAGGGAGGTGCAAAATCACAAGACAAAGAAGAGATCCTGAATTTTATGTCTATACCCGGTCGAGTATCACCTATACTCGATTGGGTATCTTGTTGAAACTTCAAATCAAATCGGATCCGAAAGCAAAGGAACATGCAGGGAAATTTTACCCACGATCGAGTGTCTATACCCGATCGAGTACACCGACATACTCGATCGGGTATAGTTATAAAATTTACTCTAAAACCGATCGAGTATGGGTCGAATTCTGATTTCTACACATACTCGATCGAGTATATGTATATACTCGATCGAGTACCCGACCTGCACCTCAAAAAGCCTATAAATACACCTCCTTTCCTTCACAATAAGGAATCATTTCCTATATACTCTTAAGCTCAGTTTAGAATAGCATTTCTCTATATTTCTTTTAGCATGTTTAGTCTCCAAATGAGGAGCTAAACTTCCATTTCTTGGTATTGCTCTTGAAGCTTGTTGATTATTAAAGTTGTGAGTTATTTTCTTAACTTCTTTTCCTTGAATATTAATTCTTCCTTTAAATACTATTTCTATATCAATGTTGGGGAGTGTTACTAAGATGACAATTAGTTAACATCTTGACATTGGTTTTAGTAATAGCTATTCCTTCCTCTATGTTAATATCGGGGAGTGTTACTAAGATGACAATTAGTTAACATCTTGATATTTAACTATAGTAGGATTCATTCCCTTTAATATTCTTCCTTGAGTATTAATTAATTCCTATTCATATTTCATATTAATATTTTGAACATTACTTAAA